GAACTTGGGCATGGATGGGATTTCTATTTCCCACTCTAGACCTCTGTCATATACATGTATATTGATATCGCTATGAGAGTTGAAATGGCAAATATCAGCCTGGTGGCGGGTATTTTACCTGACTGCTAAGAAAGCATAAATGCTTGTTTTGTTAGTAAGTAACCAGACGGCCGACGGCTTTAGGTCCTCTCTGAGGGGCCTGGTAATGAGGAATAATGCCTTCCAAAAGAGCACTAGCGCCTTGGCTTGGTTTCGAACCCGGGTCACCGGATTATAAGACCACTGCTCTACCGATGTTAAATTATCAGCCTGGCAAATATATACACTTAAAATCTTGTATTACTCCTTACTGAAAAGAGCAAGCGGAATATTCATTTTTGTAGCACACTAGCACTGATCTTTTTCTATAACTCTTAATCTTGTAAATATACAGTGTAAACTGTGCTTACGTGATACCGATGGAATATAGATTTTCTACAATATTTACTTGTATGTTTTGAAGGATATTAAGGAATGCTATAGCGAACGAGCGAGAATATTTTTTTCATTTTTATTAGTCTAAACGCTGTACTCTTGGGCCCTCCAGAGCTTATAAGTGTGTTGCAGTCTTTAGTCAGTGTTTGCTATTAATTTTTTTGCACTTTTTCGGATTTCCGGGGGGGACGTGTCCCCTGTCCCCTGGGATCGCCGCCCCTGCCGACAATTAATAAGAGGACACTTTTTTTTTGGGGGGGGGGGGGGGTCTCGAAATTTGAAAATTTGACATTTTGCTCCCTTGGGGGGGGGGGGGGTAAGGTCACCTGTTTTAGATCAGCCATGGGAATTAAAAAAAAAATAATAAAAAAAATAAAGGGGGGTTATGGGGGGGGGGGGGGGTTACACACAGAAAATTACAAAAGCGGGGGGGGGGGGGGTTAACAAAAAAAAGTGTCCTCTTGTTCTAGTTGAAATTATGGATCGAGATGGCAGGAATAATACCATTTCTGTCGCCGAGGCAGGAGCGTACGCAGGGGGGGGGGGGGGAAACCCCCCCTCCCCCTTGAGTTTTTTTATGTATATGTTTTGTGTATGGTTTTTTGTGAACCCCCCCCCCCCTTTTGATTTTTTATACCAATTTAAATTATACCAATGGCTGACCTAAAAAAATGTCCCATTTCCTTGTCTTTCCCCCTTTCTCACACGACTTTTCTTTTTCCCACCCCCCCCCCCACCCCACCCACTCAGTGTTATCTAAGGTACGCACATGTATGTTCCCTCTCTTTGAAAGCACCCCTCTATCTCCGGTGTGTAAAGTCAGTACGGGCCGGACTTTGTTGCGTGAAAAGTACCTCTTTATCTGAAATTTTGGGAACACAAATTCGGTCCCTCCGGGAGGGAGGGAGGGGGGGGGGGAGACTTTGTTCTTATATTTTCTCTTCTCTTTTCTTTCTCTTCTTTTTTCCTTTCTCTTCTCCTTTCTTTTCTCTTCTCCTTTCTTTTCCTTCTCTTCTCCTTTCTCTTTTTCTCTTTTTTCTTCCTCTTTTTTTTCCTTCCTTTTGCGCCGCCAATAGGGGGGAGGGGGCCGCGGCCGTTTCGGCCCCCCCTGGATCCGCCACTGGGTTTGGTTTTTTGTCATGAAACCTTTCTCTGTTTCTAATTACCGGCATTCACTGTACCATTAGCCGAACGGGCAGGTGCGTACGCAGGGGGGGGGGGGGGGGGGGGTTGAACCCCCCCTTTGGTATTATTATGTGTGTATTTTTTAGGAGAAAACCCCTAAAACCCCCCCCCCATTTTTTTGATAAAAAAGAAAATCATGCCTATGGCTGACCTAAAAAAAGGTGACCTTACCCCCCCCCCTCCCCCAACGAAGAAAAATGTAAAATTTTCAAATTTCGAGACAAAAAAAAATAGTTTCCTCTTACCCCCCCCCCCCCCCGCTTATTCAGCAGCTGGCTGAGTCGTTGCGATTTTTTTTTAGACCAAAAAAAGAAAGAAAAGTGTCCTCTTACCCTCCCCCCCCCGCTTATTCAGCAGCTGGCTGAGTCGTTGCGAAATTGTCGGCCCGATTTCAAAATGTTAACCCCCCCCCTGAAAAAAATCCTGCGTACGCCACTGCGAACGGGGGAGGGGGTTTCGTAAAGTCTCTTGCACGATTATCGACTCTCTAGTTTTTAAACAGCGCGGTCGGGGATTAACACAAATATAGACATGTGGTTGAACAAAAATAAACATGTACTCTCTATACTAAGGAATAAGAATTACACATAGACTATCCTGTTGCTTGAATGTGAACGGATGACCCCGTAATATCGTTAATTTATTAAACTATTTAAATTTGTTTGGGGCATTCATACCCTAAGCCTACGCCTCATACGTAGAGAAAATAACTCGTGACTATATACCATACGGTACTTCAGCAAGAGAATGGATATATTAAACGCATGACAAACAGAAGCCAGAGTATACATAGGCGCCTCACATCCCTTACTATTTGCGCACTGCACTGTGAATGGAGCTACTTTAATCATTGTTATCATTGTAATTATTATTTATGACTTGACAAAGATAAAATCATCTGAACCTACTTGACAAAGATAATATTTTCTGACCTGACTTGACGAAGTTCATATCAGCTAGAGAAAAAGGGGAACTTTTAACCTGTAAAATATGTGCCTCATGAATACTTGGTTTTACTCATTACCGAAGACTCATATACTGGTTAAAAGGAGGTGGAGTCTTCAGTAAAGAGTAGAACCAACCATTCATGAGGCACATAATTATTTAAAAGATTTAAAATACCCCTTTTCCTCTAGCTATCACCCCATCGGTTTGCTCCTGTACTCATGAGTTTTGTTCGATTTCTCAACACAAGCTTTGGTTATCGCACTTACACACCAACACACACACACACACACGCACACACACACATGCTCACATCAGGGCCTTTGTGGGGCACCTGATTGTGGGGTATTTCTGTGCGTTCCAGATATACCTTGTGGTCCCCTACTAGTGGGGTATGTACAACCTGGCGATAACAACCCGGCGGTGTGCTTACGATGTTACCATAAAAAAGTGTGCAAGTTTTAGCACACGCTCACAAAAAGTCATTTATGGGGTACCACTTCTAATGCCCCGCAGGGCATAGGACACCGAATATACAGTCATTTGAAAGACTTTACTCTGTGGGGTCCTGAAAAAATACCCCACAAAGTAAAAATGCCTCACAAGGGGTATGTGAAGCGCACATAAAACCCCACAAGAATGCTGAGGTGAGAGCACACACACACACACACATTTATAATAAAGAAAGTATCAAAGAAACAATAGAAAAGAAAGGAAAGAGAAGTTCATCCTCGGCCATGGATATCACTTTTTGGAAAAAGTACCCTTTTTGTGTACATCTGGTAATTGTAAAACTGAATCTACGGTCATGATTAAATGAATTCCATTCATGTAACCCAGCAATTGATAGAGAAATATACAATAAAGTTGAAGGACAAAGTGGGTGATTATTTTTTACCATGACAAATAGGGCACGTACGAATAGAAGAGTTTGTTTTGAAAGAGAGATTTAAGGTCATGATAAATTGAATTCCATTAGCGTACCCCAAACAAAATATATAGAATTAAGTTGAACGTCAAAGTGGGTCATTTAATTTTGGGCCATGACGAGTAGGGCCAGTACGAATAGAAGAGTTTGTTTTGAAAGAGAGATTTAAGGTCATGATTAATTGAATTCCATTAGCGTACCCCAAACAAAATATATAGAATTAAGTTGAACGTCAAAGTGGGTCATTTAATTTTGGGCCATGACGAGTAGGGTAAGTGCGAATGAAAGAATTTGTTTGGAATTAAGGTAATACAAAGTTTTAGTATGGGGTCATGAATCTGGTTCAAATAAACATATTGGAAGCATATGCGATCCTACAATATTCAGTGATCGTCGTCGCGGTTGAAATCGAGTCTAAAGTGATACAATTGTGAACAATAAACTCTTTATGTTGTATAGCTCCCTCTCAATACAGATTTTACTTTAGCTTTAAAACAATGTTTCTTGACTACAATCGACCGATTTGCTATTCCCGTTTAAAAATTATATATCAGAACCGCATATTCTGAGATTTTCATGGTCGCAGCTACCATGAAATGGCCTTAGGCGCTATTTGAAATATTTGAATTTTACCGGGAGCACCGGTAAATTTTGACAATTCAATTTCGAAAGCAGAAGTATTTTAAGAGCTAAATTTTAAAGAATTACTATCCATCCAATTTTCAAAATTAGCCAAAATTTGCATTACTTTTAACAAAAACAGATGGTACAGGGTTTTTTTTCATGAAAATTTAAACATGAATAGTAGTTTGATCAAATCAAACACAGGAATATTTTTCAACATTATAAATAGTGGCATGCTTGGAGACAAATAATGTTTACCGGGGGTATTTGTAATTTAGCGAGTTGCACGTTTCGGTAACATAAATCTTGAATACCTTTGTTGTGTATGTATTGCCCTAAATAACTATTTTTGCAGTAATTTAATTGGGGAAGAATTATTGCATTGTAAATATTCATTGAATCCTCCCATTCAGACAAGACACAAATACTTCTGGAAACCTTAGAACAAACGTAATCAATATGACATTTCCAATCTAGAGTTTTTCAATATAAGTACCAAAGAAAAAAAAAAAGAATTCTTTTTTTCGTTCAACAGTTACATTTGGTATTCCAACAGGACCAATGAACTGTTGAACTTTCTATATATTTCCTTTGTGCGACAAATTACATATTTACTTTGTTTGAAATAATTCTAAAATAATTTAGTTTAAACCAATCTCTGAATTTCATAAACTATTAATTTAAAATAGAAGAATTACATTACGAAAATAGCCTAAATATTGGAGTTCCTCAAGGATTAGTTCTCGGACCACTCTTATTTTTCCTATACATTAATGATATTATAATATCATCACAATCTCTTATGTTTTCATTCAATCAGTATGTAGGGTGTGCTTGATCTTACCTGTTCTTGCGACGGCACCAGGAAGTATCTGAATCCCTAAGCCGGCAATTTTTCCACTGATCAGTGCTGTAGCAGTCATGACCGACAGACCCATACGGTTGAATTGCTAGAAGAAAATAAAAATTAAAAATTAGATTGTTTGTTTTTATTTCATGCCATTTTATTCATTTCAATGTGGGGTAGGGGGGGGGGGGGTACTATATCTATCCGACATTGCAGTCAAGATTAGGCCCCAGAGACCCCGAACCAGACCTCAAAGTCGAGTCGATTTCACTCCATCTATATATACGTAATATAAGTAATAATATGTCTTTACATTATCCGAAGAAAAAAGGAGGATGAGGATCGAGATTGGGCTCGTCAAACTACCCCAATTCATTTGGGTCGAGTTGTCCCGTGAAGTCCATTGACCATGATTCGTCAGGTGTACATCACAAAATGTCTAAAAAAAACTGACAAAAGATTTTCATTAGGAGGGAGTGTCAAACCTAATAAAAGGGACTTTTAGATTTGCACGAAGACAATGTGGATTGCTACGGTCGGCGTCCTTTTAATGCACTGCCTTGAATGGACGTCACACGTATCAGTCCACGCATATCTAAAAGTCCCTATTGAGTGTCCTTGAGTTGAGTTGAGTTGAGTTCTGGTCATGTGATTGCATTGTGAAAGAAACGGTGTGGAATCGATCAGAAAAGGTTGATCATCTAGCATATAAGTATTCGTGTGTATTGCAAGATTCTGGAATCATCAACATGATAAGAAATTTGGCCAAGTCTTGGTAAAGTTACAAGCACTGTACACAGAAGAATGTATATGGGACTACAGGAACACGTGGCGTAAAAATCCATCCCGATTTTTACGATTTAACATGCCATATGTAGAATATAAAGGCGCTTGAAGAGCCATGCTTTTCATGGAACATGTTTTATCTGATGTTCTTCCACCCTTGCATAATAACAATGATAACGCTCACAACTTATTTTCACCTCTTCCCAGAACTCAACCTTATCTTTAACTTCACTTTGCCCCTTATGCTCTGATTGTATATACAGTGCGTCCCAGAAAAAAAACGAAACCGAGAACTATCGATGTTTTATCATAATTTAATCACAATTATAATTAATAAACGACACATATTTGGAAAGCTTAGATCCTCTTCTTTCATTTGATACATCAAAAGACTTAACTTCGTTTCGTTGAATATCAGCCATGCCTCAGGACTTTCGTCTTTTCTGTGTGTGGCTGATCGTCAACGAAACGGAGTTAAGTCTTTTGTCAACCCTGTTCGTTGCTACGGCAGGCAGCCAGTGAAAACGAACTCGTTTGATCAAATCATGGAAATGGAAGCCTTACTTTAAACAAACAGAACTTTGTTATTCCTGGCTCAATTTTCCTGATTGAAGTGTCATATGAAAGGGCAGAAATTGAACTTTCTAGAAATGTGATTTTCTCATTGAAATTCAGATACCGCCCGCCAAATGACTTTTTGGTTTCCTCTCTTCAAATTGCTTTTAATCACTCATGCGTGAGACATGAATCATATGAGTTGCATCAAATAAAATAAGAGGATCTAAGCTTTCCAAATATGTGTCATTTATTAATTATAAGTTATGCTAGTTCTCGGTTTCGTTCTTTCTGGGACGCACTGTACATTGTATTTTTAAATATTTTTTTTAAAGACTTTGAATTAAACCAGTTATCTATTCACTGTGACTCGTATTAGGTCAAACTGTTTGCTCTGGTAGATGGGTTACAACATGAGAGAAGTTGCAGTAACCATGCTAACTTACTGAAGAATGTGATGTATTCTCGATGTGGTCCTCTTCTTCTTTTGAACTTTGACCTGCGTATGACTTCTTAATCTCGAGGAGCGGTCGATCCGATCTGTTATTTGCCATGGCGACCAATATAAGCTTTTCCTTCCTAGATTGGTAGAGAAGAATGAGTTCTAATTTATTTGAATAGAATTTGTGATCTTTTCATACCCATGTGGAAAGCTGTAAAGGAAAATTGCGAAAATGTATACTTTTTCTATAAAATGTAACTCAGATTTGTATAGATACAATCACCAAACAATCTGATAATAATAACAATAATGATTTTGATAATAATTATAATCATAACAATTTAAATGAATATATGATATGATACCACTAATAACAATAGTGATCATTCAAAAACAATAAAGGCTTACAAAATTACAGAATTTGAATAAGAAAGTTCATAGTTGCAGTCTGAGCAAGAGCAGATAAAGGTCATTGCAGACCAAATCGTGAAATACACGGAGACAAAATACTGGATACGTACTCATGAAAGTTATGTAATCATTATACATTTATGCACAAGCTTTAGGAGTGATTTTTTCAAAATGTACAAAGTGGGACCTCTTCATGTTTTGGAGAAAATGTGGATATTCGGGGTCACTTGGAATAATGTGCTAACCGTGAACTGGTCTATTAATTGAAAAAGTATGTTTTAAGGGATCGTTGAAAGGGGCAAGTAAACTATCTCTGATTAAAAGTGGAATACAGCTGTTCCACGTTTTGGATTTAGCCATTGTAAAACGTGTGATATAATATAGACATCCCCATTGCCCCCATACACAGACACAATGTCAAAGCCTATGCATAATGATTAAAACCATCAAGGGGAGTGTTATTTCTCGAATAAGTGCGACTCTTAATGAAATATACGGGTAGCCATAGACAAGTCGAGTGGTATTATGGGCCCAGTCCGTCTATCCGATTACAATACTATGCTATGCACTTTATCAATGTTAAGCCTCAATGAAAGAATTATTGAATTAATATTTATAATTTTTCTCTCTATTTACCCTTCCACAGGGTTCTGTTATTAATTATCAACATAATCATTTCCACAAAAGTTCGATACATGCACTATTTAATGACATGTAGAGGTGTTGTGGTCGAGTGGATGCGTCGCCGGACTGTCGATCACAAGGTCTGCGGTTCGAGTCCCGCCGCCGCACTAATGTCCTTTGGCAAGACATTGATCTACATTTGCCACACTCCACCCAGGTGAAGTAAATGGGTACCTGGTAGGAATTTATTCCTTGAAATGCTAGAGCGCCGTATGGCAGCCGTGCTAAAGCCAGGGTAATAATCGGGAGCGCCAGGAGGGTCAAATCTGACTGACATGAGCGCTATACAAGAACCCACTATTATTATTATAATATTCAAACAATAAAAAATTACAAAATAACCTCGGCCGCACAATAACATATAATATACTAGACTTTAATTCGTCACTTAGACGAATTAGGTGATACGTATGATAATGGTCTACATAACGAATAATGCATTACACGATATATTATTTTGTAAAATGCTTCTCCAATTCATATGCTTCTCCCATTATGATCTAGTCATATGTCAAGATTAAATTGTGTCTCCTTGATCATCATGGATCTAGGGAAGATAGACTGAAACAATATATGACCTTTGACCCTGTGCAGTAACCAGTTACACATTTGACTCTAATTTACATCATGAAGAACACCTTTTGACGATTTTGATCTCATTCAAAGAAATGAAAATGTAACTGATAAATGATTATCATCATTATGATAATGATGATCATGATGATCATGATCATGAGCGCGATCATGACATCTTATTGAAAAAATGAGGGTTGATTTAGATAGCATATAGTCTCAGCTACAACATACTCAAAAATCAACAAAATCCAAGCCGAAATAACGGCGATATTGCTCGCAAAAGACAGGAATGTAGACTCCAGATTTTAGAAAAAGTCATCTCCCATAGGGATTACACGCAAAAAGTAATGGATTAAGTAAAAATAGGGTAATAATAAAGTAAAAAGCGTTATTTATGACATTATTTGCGAATCTACGTGTTTAAATAATCAAAGGAGATGGTACAGTGAAGGTCAAAAGGAAAAAAAAGTGAGAAAAAAAAAGTGTTGGAGACACCCGGACTCGAACCAGGGATCTCGAGGTTGGAAGTCAAGTGCGTTACCGATATACCAAAACATCTCCCATAGCGATTAAACGTAAACGGGAAATGGAATTCAGAAATCCTACTTTGCAAGTGAAATATGAGCATAATTCTGGCATCTAATCGAAAAATAAAGGGAACACTTTTGATAGCTCATTGTCTCAGCTACAACATATCCAAAGCTCAGCGAAAACAAAGCTAAAACAACGGAGATTTTGCTCGCGAAAGACAGGAGTGTAGAATCCAGTTTTGAGAAAAAGTCATGTCCCATAGAGAATACACGCAAAATGCGAAAAATTGACATGCCTCATTTAATCGCAAAAATACACCATGATACTTTTGTCAAAAATAAAAATTGTGAATACTACATTTGTAGAAAATTGTCTCAGCTAGAACATATCATAATTAAAAAGAAAATTGATCCATATTTACAGAGATACAATCAATTTTCCAAAAATATGCTGACGTCATAATATGCAAATTAAAATTTTGAGTTTGGAGGCCATTATGATGACGTCATGAGTTAATTGAGGATAAAATGAGACATGAAATCATATCTCCGACTCATAATCTATATAAATATGAAAAAATATTAGGAGTTTCTATCTATTCTAAAGAGTTACAATGAATTTTATATAGGCATGTTTTTGCCCATGTATTGTGGATAAAGATAACGCAAATCCGCGCGTGCTGTCAACTTTGACGGACGCTCATTGCGTTAATAAAAGGTGAACAAATTATCAAAATGCTTGGAAAAATGTACCGAATATGATGACAGAAAAAAATCGGCGATTCTATGTTGAAAAATGCCAGTACGCGCGAAAACGCGCGCGCATGCGCGTGTGCGTAATTTTTTTATCAAATGCTCCATATGGCCTGAAACGTATGCAAAAAAAAATTGGGATGATTTGGAGCATTTTAAATTTTTGCGCGCGCGTAAACGCGCGCATTTGCGCACTTTTATTGACCTCAACTTGACCGGACGGATATTTATCTTAATCGTGATAATTATGAATGAGAAATACTTTTCCGTTATGAAGATATGATCATTAGTTGATTTTCACAAAATGGCGCCTGGATGACGTCACGATCATTTTGACTCTCCAAAAAGTCACGCAGTTCTAAGTTAGACTAAGATCTATCATCATGGCAAGTTTCATGATAATGGCTTTATTCAGTCTTGAGATATCTTGCGAACAAATTCGAGGAAGAATAATAAAAACTAGACTTTAATTCGTCACTTAGACGAATTAGGTGATACGTATGATAATGGTCTACATAACGAATAATGCATTACACGATATATTATTTTGTAAAATGCTTCTCCCATTCATATGCTTCTCCCATTATGATCTATTCATATGTCAAGATTAAATTGTGTCTCCTTGATCATCATGGATCTAGGGAAGATAGATTGAAACAATATATGACCTTTGACCCTGTGCAGTAACCAGTTACACATTTGACTCTAATTTACATCATGAAGAACACCTTTTGACGATTTTTATCTTATTCAAAGAAATAAAAATGTAATTGATAAATGATTATCATCATTATGATAATGATGATCATGATCATGAGCGCGATCATGACATTTTATTGCAAAAATGAGGGTTGATTTAGATAGCATATAGTCTCAGCTACAACATACTCAAAAATCAACAAAATCCAAGCCGAAATAACGGCGATATTGCTCGCAAAAGACAGGAATGTAGACTCCAGATTTGAGAAAAAGTCATGTCCCATAGGGATTACACGCACAAAGTAATGGATTAAGTGAAAATAGGGTAATAATAAAGTAAAAAGGGTTATTTATGACATTATTTGCGAATCTACGTGTTTAAATAATCAAAGGAGATGGTACAGTGAAAGTCAAAAGGAAAAAAGAGTGAAAAAAAAAGTGTTGGAGACACCCGGACTCGAACCAGGGATCTTGAGGTTGGAAGTCAAGTGCGTTACCGATATACCAAAACATCTTCCTTAGCGATTACACGTAAACGGGAAATGGAATTCAGAAATCCTACTTTGCAAGTGAAATATGAGCATGATCCCGGCATCTAATCGAAAAATAAAAGCACCACGTGTGATAGCTCATTGTCTCAGCTACAACATATCCAAAGCTCAGCGAAAACAAAGCGAAAACAACGGAGATTCTGCTCGCGAAAGACAGGAGTGTAGAATCCAGTTTTGAGAAATAGTCATGTCCCATAGACAATACACGCAAAATGCGAAAAATTGACATGCCTCCTTTAATCGCAAAAATACAACATGATACTTTTGTAAAAAATAAAAATTGCGAATACTACATTTGTAGAAAATTGTCTCAGCTAGAACATATCAAAATTAAAAACAAAATTGATCCATATTTACAGAGATATAATTAATCTTCCAAAAATATGCTGACGTCATAATATGCAAATTGAAATTTTGAGTTTGGAGGCCATTATGATGACGTCATGAGTTAATTGAGGATAAAATGAGACATGAAATCATATTTCCGACTCATAATCTATCCAAATATGAAAAAATACTAGGAGTTTTTATCTTTTCTAAAGAGTTACAATGAATTTTATATAGGCATGTTTTTGCCCATGTATTGTGGATAAAGATAACGGAAATCCGCGCGTGCTGTCAACTTTGACGGACGCTCATTGCGTTAATAAAAGGTGAACAATTTATCATAATGCTTGGAAAAATGTGCCAAATATGATGACAGAGAAAATTCGGCGATTCTATGTTGCAAAATGCGAGTACGCGCGGAAACGCGCACGCATGCGCGTGTGCGCGATTTTTTTGCGAAATGCTTTAAATGGCCTGAAACGTATGCAAAAAAAATTTGGGATGATTATGAGCATTTTAAATTTTTGCGCGCGCTTAAACGCGCGGACGAACGCGCACGCGCGCATTTGCGCACGTTTATT